CTCCCAACTCAAACCTCTATTAACAATATGGGCTATCAGCACTCCCAACTCAAACCTCTATTAACAATATGAGCTATCAGGACTCCCCACTCAAACCTCTATTAACTATATGGACTATCAGGACTCTCCACTTGAAGCTCTTTCAACAATATGGGCTATCAGTGCTCTCAACTTGAAACACTATTAACAATATGGGCTATCAGGGCTCCACACTCAAACCTCTATTAACAATAAGGGCTATCTAAAGAAAGAAGTATGTCGATTAAATAACACATTGATTAAGTACTTTTCATAAAGATGATTTTGTTAAAGCATTTTCAATATCAAACATTTCCTGTTTAAGAATGAGGACAGAGTCAACTGAGTGCATAACTACTGTCCTGGAGCCCCTGCACTGGCTACCTGTAAAATTCTGCATTGACTATGACATTCTATTGTTGATGCACATTATTATATACAGTATATATTACCATACCTACAGTATGTCTTGTCTATCTGCCCAATTTAACCTCCCCAGATACCTGTCAATTTGTCAAGGTGCTTTGTCATGTTAGAGATTTAGTTTGCTTGGTTTATGTGCAGCGCTTTGCAATGTGCAGACATACTGGGTGCTGAATAATTCGATAGACGCTGAATGAATGTGACTACGTTTTCTGCTTGCCTCAGCGTTCTCCTGCAAGGCGGGGGAGTTCCTGGAGATGAAGACCCAGTCGTGCGTGCCGTGTGCCGCTGGAACGTACTCCCTGGGGACGGGGGTCCGAGTGGACGAGTGGGATGTTGTGCCCCCGGGCTTCGTCACTCTGGGAAGCGACCTGGATGCAAACCCCTCCTCTTCCTACAGTAACTGCTCCCAGTGCGTGTTCTCCGGACTGGGGTTCAGAATTCCCCACCCTTTGTTTTTTTTCAAATGATGAACTTGTGAACTTCTATTGTTGTGCTCCTGTTTGGAAATAACTTTCCAATACATTGATGAAGGTGTCTGACGAATTATCAAAGCGTATTGTATAATTTTATCATTATGTTGTGTTGTGCAAAATAGGACACATATGCAGCTCACTTCAGATCAAGATTGTATTCTCATGGTAGACTAGAGTGAATGTCATCCTCACTGCCTACAAGTGGTCAGGGAGATGGTAATAGACTGATGCCTGGAACAAGTGCGTCTTCCCTGTGCGCCCCTGATCAGGTTATAAATAAACCGATACCGGAAGTCGGTCTCATCCTGCAAGGCTGTAACAAACAGATCCATGGGGCCAGTGTCATCCTCCCTGTGTTCCAGCGATCATGTAGATTGTAATAGACTGATTCCTGGAACCTGTGCATCCTCATTATGTGCGCAAATCTGGCTTGGGAGACTGTGAATGGACTGATCGCTGAAACCCATGTTGCATTTCAGCCTTTGTCAGTGGGCTTATAGAAAAAACATTTTTTTTTATGAAAGTAAAAACACTGAATTAGGTTCATTAAAGGTTTCACATCAAAACAACGTCATAGCCAGTACCCACCAGAACCCGACCTTGCCAAAAATGGTGTGCCAATTAGTCAAGGGGCACTGTAATAGATTGATTTGTGGAGCCTGTATTACATTTTAGGCATTGCAGGCTGGTACCTACCGTGACATAACCTTGACAAAGGCTGCAACCAATAAATATCTGAAAAGAATGTGTGTGTTTACAGGTCAGCCTGGACTCCCAAGGGTGAATACATCGCATCCAACACGGACGAGTGCACGTCCACGCTGTCATACGCCGTCAACCTCAAACAGGCCGGCTTTGTCTCCTTTGAGTACCTCTACCCCGACAACAACATCCTGTTCGAGTTCTACGTATGCATTCTTATTGCGTTTGACCAGCAAACCTTAATATTCCAGTAAAATATTTAGACGCCATTTGCTGGATCGACTGGCTTGACTGATCTGTAAAAAATGTTTTGAAAGATCTAAAAGCTCACAGCACAGCTGAAGGCAACGATGAGACATGACAGCTACTGTGTAATTTTGCATAAAAAATGCATTATTATCAATTAAGCTATGCACTGTTTTGTCCAGTACAAATTTGGAGCAATTTGCTTGGTCCTGTTATGAGCTCGATTGGCAAATCGAGATTTTTTTTCTTTTACCTTATATCAGCAGCCTCAACAGCATGAAACACTAAGAACATCTCTAAAGAATTTTACCTGTGAATGGAAGAAGCAGCTGTACTAATTATTTGTTTCTAAATTTTTTCTTTTGTGTGTTACAATATAAGTTGTTCATCTGCGCTGGTTAGCTGCAGGAGTAAGGTTTTTGGGAGAACACAATCCTGCTTGAATAATTTAAAAAACAGGGGAGGAACAGAGGCAACTTGATCACCGTCTTATTCACTCTTGCATTTGCCCAAATGGTAAAGACATCAGCCCTTACCTGCCTGCTGTTCTAGGAACAAATATTGTGGTGATAACAAAAATCAGGGCTAGTTCCTTAAAGCTAAAACAACAATAGAAAGAACTGATCTCTGTTACTGGATTATACAGTGGGACCAGAAATATTAGGGTTAATTTGACCTTTTCTGATTGTTAAAAGCAGTACAGCCACAGTGCCAGATGCCGTTTTTTTAAATCAAGATTAACATTTCTGTAGCCTGACTATGAACATGAAACAGCACTACTGTTTCCTGAGCCCGGACAGCTACAGAGTCTTGTGGTTTAAAGGATACAATATTGAAACCCTTCAATCCTGATTGCTTCGTAAGTGTTATAGCACCTATACTGTTTATTTTAAATAGGGCCCCTCATTTCTTAACGGCTTCTTTGTTTCTATTAGTGACGTAGTTGGTCTGAATTCCCCTGTTTCCAGCGCTTAGGCCATTGGAAATTTTCAAAGAGAAAGTGTATGCGATCTGGAAAAATATTTTGTGTGCAGCAAATGCTTTAGAAACCTGTCTTTTTCTTCCAATTTTACTGTTTTTTAAACATGTACTTTACTGTAGGTGCCCTTGCTTTGAATCAGAGATGTGTCCTGAAGGGTTTGTCACACACAGCTTAAGTCCTTTCGATGTCTCTGGGTCTGATGTTCTTGCATTTGTTGCAGACGCGTAATAGAATTTCCAAGGTTTAAAAAACGAAATAGCACATATTCCCCTCCAAGTCTCAAAAAGACTAGAGATGAACTCCAAGGCAATTTGCCCTGTTTAAAAAGAATTCATGAATTCTGAGTGGTAGTTATCATGTGAACATGCATATAGATACTAATCTCCAGCGATTCTGCAACAGCAGCAGAACAGAATCAGTAAGTCTCTATGGTGTCTTTCTCCCAGGTTCAGAATGACCAATGTCAGGCCACTGAGACCCAGACCAGGTGGATGCAGACCACAGAAGGAGACTGGGATACACACAGTGTAGGTCTTCTCTTTATGTTTCTTCTATACTTCTCTTCAGTGTCTTTAATGTTCTTCTTTTGTAACTGCATTCTTAGGTAATCTCTTAAAAGGCAGGCAGATAAGAGAAAAAAAATAAAGGGTCTTCCTTATAATCACAGATCTAATACAAGACTCTTAAGAACAAAGAAAAGGGTTACGAATGTGAGGACAATCTAGAACAACAAATCAAGGAAGCTTGTTCCAGACTCCCACCACCCTTTGTGTAGGAGCTGGACCTTGGCCTTTTATGTAGATTGCTTGTTTTGTACAGTGCATTTAATATTTATAAATGTATGCTAATATATTTATTTGCTATTGGTCTTGGATTTCACCATACTTCTATTTTATGCCATTGTGTAGGTGGATAGATTTGCTCAAATACTGTCTGTGCCATTTGTCTAATTTAAATAAATGTCAGGATTAGAGTTCAACGAGAAGAAGGAGCCATGTTCCACTTTGGTTCCTAGTGGAACATGGCTTCCTTAGTGGAATCTACAAATCTTGCCCAGCTGTTTTTTTCACAGATCCCAATCATAAATGTTTTTTTTTTTGCATACACGAATACACCCATGAGCCTGCTATTTCCACCACCAAAATCCATCTTGCTGTCACTGCAGCAATTACTCCTGTGTTTTTGTTACACTTCTAAGCTTCAGGAGTTTATAAGATATTGAAAAACCTATCTATGATATCTTAAAACTATTATATCTCCTCTAGATTTCTTCTTACTGTCTGTAGTGCTACTGTTTTTTTTTTTTTTAAAAAATGCGTTTCCTGCAGTATATATCTGTCTGTTCTGTTGGTATGTTCCTGATTTAGAAATCATACCTCTTTTGCAAAGAAGGATGTATTTCTTCTTAAAATGGCAGATACTGACTTCTGGACCTTCCTGTCCCTGCAGGTTTCACTGAGTCGGGGTAATAATGTCCTGTACTGGAGAACTACTGGATTCTTAATATCTAAGACGGTGGCAAAGCCCGTGCTGGTCAGGAACGTCGCCATCACGGGTAATTCTTTCTCACACGTGTCTTATGCTCAATTTAAACATTAATTCTCCTTCATAACCATTCTCCAGTCCAAAGGTCCTATCCAGAGCACCTTGTAATGTAAACACTTGCTTGGACTGTTAAAACACATGTTGGTAGCTATAGATCTGTGGTCAGGAATGAGCTACACATGCACATCTTTGAGTTCGTCCTTGGTAGCACGAGGTGTCCTGTACACATGCACTTGACTTGTTTCCCTTTTCCAAGGGGTTGCCTACACCTCGGAGTGTTTTCTCTGCAAGCCTGGCACCTACAGCTCCAAACCAGGCTCTGCCCTCTGCGCTCCCTGCCCCATCAACACCTACTCCAATAAGGGTGCCACAGTGTGCCAGCAGTGCGACAGTGAGAAATATGCAGGTATGCATTGGGTTCTCTCGTGCTGATTGTGCTCAGGGGATGACAAGGACAGCTGCTCTTCATGACCCAGGATCACAGGACAGACAGACAGACAGAAACACAGATGCCCTCACACCAGGGCCAATTTCCCAGAAGCCAATTAACCCACACAAACGCGAAGGGAACATACAAACTCCACACAGATAGCACCCCAGCTCTGAAATTGAACCCAGGCCCCCAGCACTACGAGGCAGCTGTGCTAAACCTCTGTACCACTGTGCTGCACTCATACAAAACCACTCAAAAGAAAGCAACAGATGAATAAACAATGCAAAGGCAATTGATTACAGGGGATTTACTGATCACACTGTAATTCAAGAAGTGGTGTCTGACCACACTGTCACAGTTGTTGAATCTCCAATTGCAACTTTTTGCACTTCCTTCCATTGGAATAATTTGGCAGAATAACAACGACTGAGTGCAATGAGATGGTATCCCAGACTGCCCAACCTTGAAAGAATTGTAAGATGCTGTTTCAGCTGAAATTGTGCTGGAGGGTCAAGCCTCTGTGCCTGAAGATTAATGGTTACTGGGAAAGAGCCATTCCCCATTCAGTCCCCCCTAAAGCACATTAGTCACAACTCAAAGCCCATTGATCACATTACCCAGAAGTGCTCAGGACGCTCCCTGGACACCTTTGGTAGGTACCAGGTCCACCTCAAGCACTCTGTGTGTGGCTGCTGCGAATGTTTCTAGAGGGAGAGACACTCTTGTCCCAGGTCCCCCCCTCCCCAAGTCAGGACCCCCAGCTGGCTTGTCCAGCTCCCTCTCCCCTATAGAAGCCAGTGGGAAGTGTGGGATCCGCGCTCTCCTTTCCCTCCTGCGTGTTGACGTCTGCTGCACTTTGCCTCCGTGTCTCAGACATCGGGTCAGGGACCTGCAAGGAGCGGCCGGCGTGCACAGCCAGTGACTACTTCTACACACACACGCCCTGTGACTCCAGCGGGCAGGTGAGCACCCAGGACCCCGAGGCCAGAGGAATTCCCCCGCGTGACGCAGTAGTCCGTTCGTTCTGGTTTATTCACCTGAGCAAAGGACACTCCTGCTAAGTCACATTTTCTAAGTGCGAAGCAGTTCAAATCAAATTTGTTTATTTATCAAAGTTTATTTATCAAATGCACAACAATACAGCGTGCAGCAGTAGTTGCTGGCAATGAAATGTCTTATTTGCGAGCTCACAAAAATCACAAGAATCACAAAAATCACAAAAATCACAAAATTGAGGTTACGAAAATAAGGTCACATAATAGTAGATGTAATAGAAATGGAATAAAACGCAATATGAATAGAGTTGAGACAGCTAGCAGTGTCTCTCTGGTAGCTTGAGTTGATCGTATGTGTAAGTCATATAGAGGCTACCATCAGCTATAATGCTCTTCATATCTTTAGACTACTGTGTTAAGTGTTGCTTTTTATCCCTTTTTATCATTTTAATCATATTTATTGACGAGAGTTACAAATGAGAGGAGACCCTCCTCTCATTTGTAGCTGTCGGCATGGTCAGAATACGCTGAAATAAAACAGGAATTTAATTACACCTCACAGTGCTTGACTCAATTTGTGATGTGACAAGAGGACACATCTGTTGTGCTCCATTTAGCTGCTATCAAAAATACACAGGAAAATGCCAATGCGAATCTGTGTTACTTGATAGGTAACAGTGTAGTCTGTACTCGGCATGCAATGTACTTTAAGTGTTACATAAAAGGAGAGAGCGTAATCTGTGCTCGGCATGTGATGTCTATATTACAGACCCAGCTGATGTACAAGTGGATTGAGCCAAAGGTCTGCAGTGAGAATGCTGACGGAGCGGTGAAGCTGCCTGCCTCTGGAGAAAAAATCAACTGCCCTCCCTGTAACCCGGGTTTCTTCAAGAACAACGCCTCTGCCTGCGAGCCCTGTCCTTATGGCTCCTATTCCAATGGCACAGGTACTGTCTCTATAGAGCATCCATCTTCTTGCCATAGACATACCTGGAATCCATGCATCTGGCAGGAAACAGCATCAATACAATAACTGCTTTAGCAATGAGGGACAGTCACCTTGTCTGGTTTAGTTGATAGTTTCTTATCAGTCCCAGTATCACATCACCTGTGCCACAGACAGGAATCTACAACAGCAGATCCCTGTCAGCTTTTTCAAAGAATGTCTTCATGTCCTGTGATGGTCCTAAATGAATGGCTGTTATACAGTTTATAACACCGGTAGAATTTTCCATTAATCTCAAGTGCTATCAGAAAGATCTCTTTGCCATTCATTTGGATCTCCATGTAATTCCCAAAACTATATCCGAGAAGAAATAGTTGCAAAGCAAATGCATCAATGAATTCTTGAAGGTTGCCATAATAGATTATCGTTTATTATTGACAACAATCTGCAGTCCCATTGAGATGCATTATTCCAGTATCACACTTTATATACCAATAATCTGAACACCTAGGGTCATGTAATACATGCAGATTGCAAAACAGATTGAAAGAATCTCTGTGCATTGTTAACTAGAAGTGTTTTAAATGAAGCAGAACAATACCCCAGTTGCTGGCACTTTAAACTGCTAAACATATAAGAGTTTAATGCCGAATAGGTCACTGTTACCCAGCATCGGTTAACACAATTTCCTGAGCATTACATGTGAAAACCCTATTTATTTGCACTGCGATAGAGCTGGCTGTTTGGCAACATCACCTTCACAGCCCTACTTTAAATGAAGGTATACCTGAGGCACAAATCATGCACATCAGATCACACTGATATAAAGGGATGACTGTGAACTGGTAGTGCACATGTTTCTTGGATGTCTTAATATTATTACTTATATTACCCTGAATCTCATTTGAACAAAAAGCATTGCACTGTTTAAGAGCGCTGGGACTGTGTCACTTTAAAAAGCTATCTGAGCTTGCCAATGGGACAAGAGACCTCTGGCTTGCCTGACCCCTCTGTCCTGCAGAAAGACAGAGTCAAGCATGTGAAGTAAGAGTGACATGTCACGGTCCTGCCTGTCTGCAGAGTGTGTCCCGTGCCCAGCTGGAACAGAGCCGATGATGGCCTTTGAGTACAAGTGGTGGAACAGCCTGCCCAGCAACATGAAGACGTCGGTGTTCAGCAGAGAGTACAGCGACTCGGGCAGGCACACTGGTGAGAGAGACTCTTCTCTGCAGGCTGGAGGGAACCCTTCATGCGCAAGTGTTTCTGTTGGTGTTTCCTGAGCTCTGCGCATCTGCTAGTACGAATTTGGAACATCTCCAGTGAGCTGTTTTCAAATAAGCCTTAGCTAATAGAAAAGTACATTTTAAAAGGGTGAGGGTTTTTTTTACACATGGATTTCAATTACCCCTCAGAATAACCCTCCTTGAGGTGTATATGTTATGAGCAAAGCAGTCACGTCCACTTCAGTGCCCAATATTAACTGTCGTTGCTGCTCTGACTGGTTCAATAATACTGTTCTATTAAATCAGTAGAAACAGTGCCTGTGTGATGCAGAGTAGTGAGATCTGGGGTAGAGTCACGCAGGCTATACTGTAATATACTGATACTGCTGTTAGCGGTTCAGTACTCATCCACAGTGTGTTTTGTTGTAGGGTATGGTAACCCCAACAGGGGGTGTTGGGCTATGTAAGGTGAAACCCAGGCTGTGACATTATCCTAACCCCAGGGCGACCCTGGTGCATTTAACACTGCTGCCCCAAGCCCCTGTGGGTGCCTGGTGCATTTACATGTACAGTACATTGCTGTCCAAAATCTCTGGGGCTCTCTGGTGCTTTCACACTGGTACCCCAAACCTCTAGGGGTCCCTGGTGCTTTTAAAGTGTGCTGTGAATCTATCTGGGTCTAGCTCAGGGCTGAAACTGGGGTGCTGTTACCCATAACCCTGCCACATCAAGATCATCCAATAGGTATGGATTTATTTAAAATAGGAAAGAGGTTGAAGCACAATGAAATCCATATTCCCGGGTTGTTATCCCGCATGGAGTGATTGGATATTGGAAATATTAATTTAGATCGTATATTATATTTAGATATTAATATGATTTTAGATTATTTTAGATATCTTTCATAATAGTACTGTGGCTGTTGAGTGTGCGTCTGGCCTGACTGGTCAACACAGAGAGCTCGTGGCCCTTGTCTGGCTCGCCCCTGCCTGTCCCATGAGCTCAGCAGGCACTGTGACTCTCTCCACAGCCTGGGAGGTCGCTGGGGAGTACATTTACACCACGGCAGGCGACTCGGACACCGACTACCTGATGCTCATCCTGACTGTCCCAGGGTACAGGTGAGCCATTCATTTTACCATTATTCAGCATAACAAACCCAAGTCTCAATTGCTCTTCCCCCCGGGGACGTGCTCAGTGTGTGCCCTCGGGTAATGCACCGGATGGAATAAAATAATATTGGTGCAGCATCCTCATTAGCTCTTTTTATAGTCTGCCCTGCTGTTTGGTCCAGTGTTATTGTACTGTTACACCACATCTTGCCATGAAAGGTCGTGTACTACACCCAGGAAGGTCTGACTCTTGGCCAAGCTAGGGGAATAGTTCAGGAACATTTCCAGACCTGAGAATTAGGTATTGCCCAGTACTCTTTCAGGTGCACAGCGATGTGTCAGAGATCTGTGATCTACGCTCCCCAGCTTACATTTTCTAACAGGCTGGGACAGTGCTAGTGTTCAACCTGGGGCAGGTTTTGAGCTGTCATTTATATTCCTGGTTGTATCAGATCTTCCTTAACTCACACTAACCTCCCAAGCTACAGGGAATCTTGGAGCGGGAGCTGTGTCTGGCATCCCTAGGGAAGGAAAGGAAATCTCTGTCCCTCACTGATATAGTGTGAAAGGATTCCTTCAGCGTGATCCAGAGATGGAAGTCACTCACTCCTGTCAAAAGAGACTCCCATCTCCTTTCCCAACAGAGCAAACTGGCTTCTCAAAGAGTGAGCTC